ATGGTACAACATGCATAAACCTTGAAAACATCATGCTGAGACACAAAATGTCATAGCTTGTATGATTTTGTATGATTAAATGTATGACATTTATATGAGATGTTAAGAATAGGCAAATCCAGAGATACAGAAAGCAGAGAAATAACTCTCAGGTGTTAGGAGAGGGAAGAACGTGAATTGACTTCTAATGGGTTGAAGTTTTGTTTGGAGAGTGATGAGGTTCTTAGGAAATTGAACCTACTAAGTACCACTGAATTGTACACTTTACAAAGATATATTCACCGAGGAGAGAATAGTCTTTTCAATCCATGGTGCTGGGACAACTGGATACCTACATGAAATTAAATATAATTCAGATCGACACTTTAAGGGATCTGAAGTTTAATTTACAAAAGTGTGAGAGCCTCAGTCAGTGCTGTGGTAGGGAACACCTCAGGTTGAAATGAATATCAACAATTAAATAAATTTCAGTGTACTATTTGGTGTGATTAAAACCTTCCTAGCATTAAGGATGATTGGAGTCTTAGAAAAAGCAACTTGTTGACTGCTTTTTGCATTTCACTTATGGACTTTAGAGTACATGAGTTAATAATTCATACAATCTTTACAAGGCAATTAAAAAAGCGAGAGCTTTCCCAAGAGGAAGATGATGCCCGAAACATCATGCTCAATCACCTTGATTATTATTGTGTTGTCCTAGGGAATAGTAAATTACTTAATTGTGTAAATGTTATAGATGCTCCTAGATTTTGTATTATTAATGAAGTATAGATATGCTTGTTCAACCAAATCTATGGGACTATAAAGCTCAGATTACTAGAGCTAACCACACATGGTCAGTGGGACGCATGTGATAGATGAGAACACATTTTGGCAAAGAGAAGGGGCAGGTCTGAAGTTACTTTGAGAATCAGTTGCTAAGATATTGGTCTTCAAAGAACTAGTCCTGGGCTTGTACTTCCCTGAAGACCAAGCATTTGTTTTTATTCCCACCTCAGAGGGAGATTTTAGGGGTACCACCTGGAAAGTTTAAACTGAAAACAATGAGGGTCCTATGTAGGGCTCAGGGTGAGACACCATCTTTGCTCTCATAAAGACAGTTGTCCTTTTCAAAAATGACTAGTAAATGGCAGAAAAATCCCTGTTTTTTCACTTGGAGACACCTGCTTTTAAGATTTTGGAGTTTTGAGAATCTAGAGTCTTTCTGACACATGCACATCTGCCTGGTGAATACTAAGACTTAAGGATCATGGTGACAGCACCGGCTTCTCCATCAAGACATTTTTTTTTTCCCAGCCCGCCTCACCTCCATGTCATCCGTCCAGATCTGCAACCCTCCCAAGAGTCGTATGGTTTATCTCCGCCTTCTCTTCATTAAAACCCACTGGAAGGAAAGAATCTACTTGGACAACTATCTCATAGAAGGACTGAATATGATATTTCAGGTTTCCTCGTAGAATTTCTACATTATTGTAGAGAATCTCTATGAGCCAGAGTGGCATATGAAATAATTTTGTACAGGGAGAGCTGATCTGCCTTTGAAATTAAGTCAGTGGAGGCAGCACTGTACTTTTAATAATAATAACAAGTAGTACTATTTAATCAGCACCAAATAGTA